CGGTCTAGTGTGCCTGGCTAGTGAATGTGGGGGTTGTTCAGGTTTTGATGTTTATGGGATTTCTGTTTTCCCAGAGTTCCAAAAATATCTGGCAAATAGGCTTAGAGAGATCATTGTGACTAAATGAATAACCTTCGTAGTTAGCATGGTAGTTAATGTTATCAACTTGACAGCACCTGGAATCACCTAGGAGACATGCCCCTAGGTACACCCATGGAAGATTATTAGGTTATTAGCTCTATTATATAAAGCTTTACTAGATTAGGTTAACTTCTGGGCATGCCTATGTGGGACTGTTTTGATTTGGTTAATTGAAGTGGGGAGACCCACCTATTATGGGTGACTGGCATACTAGATTGGATAAGAGGGGGGAAGTGACCCGGGTACTAGCATCATCTGTTCCCTGACTGCACTCACAGTGCAACCAGCTCTTAAACTCCTGCTGTCTTGACTTTCCTTGATGGAGTGCCTTGCAGCTAAAAAGCAAAATACACTTTTCTTCCTTAAATGTTGCTTGTGTAAGAGTACTTAATCATAGCAACAGAAAAGTAACAAGGATAATTAGTTTTTCTTAACCTGGCTAGGTAGTGTATGTTAAAACCCATAGTAATCTCAGTCAGGAACTGTAACCTATTGTCTAGGAAAACTGGGAATGTAGGGAGGAAGAGAAAAACAGTATATGCTCAGAACGCTTCTCCTTTCCCAGATGGTTTATGGGAACACTGAAACTCAGAAGCAGAAAGTGGTGAACTGCAATGGAACTGAAAGGACACAAACCCAGTCACATGGTGGGATCCCCTAAAGAGTCATGTGGTGGATACCTGAGTCAAAGTGGGATTGATTCCACGAGCTCTGCCTCCTTAGTCACCGAGCAGTTATTTCCTCTCTCCTTGCTGTCTGAATCCAGTTCCACCTTGAAGGCCTCTTCCTGACATGTGTGATGGTAGTAACACTTTGATTTTTCATGCTTCTATGCTATCCCTTTGTATATTGATGGCCATGCTGCTTGTTCAAAAAACACCATGCTGTGACATATTCATTCCTGGGCCTATCCTATACCCGAATAATGACTTTGAACCATGAAACCTTAATGACTTGAATTCTTCTGTGCCCAACATTAATTTTTGTTCACATTTGAAGGTCAGATATATTCTTTAACTCATTTTTATCTTTTGAGGAGACTCTTGCAGCTGGGCTTCTCTGGGCCTGCACATACAGAGTCTCTGTGTTCCCCTTCAAGTAAAAAATACAAAACAAAACACAATGCACACACAAAAAACAAAACATAAAAATATCCTTTCTTCTAATTCTGTGGGATGCACAGCAGGGAAATCCAGGGTCAGGCAGTTTTTAAATTCATCATCCTTAGCTGGGAGCTAGGGTCCAATACAGAGACTGGTACAAAGCCAGGCTAGACACAACCATTCTTATGCTCTCTGGTGCCCCTGCCGGCCACATTTACAGTTCACATTTCTGTGTGAGCCCTCACCTCCACCAGACAGCCCTCATTCCAAAGCCTCCAGTTACTACAGCTGACCCACCCACTACTTCATGGTGTGAAACCCACCACTCTTTCAGCCTCTTCTCCTGCAAGCTTTGGTCTTAAGTCCCATACTTCTGCCAAATGAAGCTACTAAGCCTGGACAGGCTGCCCTTGTTTGTGCTTGCATACATTTGCATTTCTGGTCCTTCAAACCCAAAACTTGGCCTTGGTGCCTCTTCTCTTATTTTCTCAGTCCAATTCTAGACATCTTTTCAAAAATATTTTCATGTAGAAGAAATACTTATTGTTGTCTGTTACACAGAGAAATTCTGTCTCAAAAAACAAAAAAAAATGGAAAAAAAAAAGAAAAAGGAAAAGAAATACTTATTGTCTCAAATTTTGGAAAACATAGGAAAATGTCAATTGACAAGAGCAACTATGGTTCATGTTTTCTTTGATTTATTTTTTCAAGATATGTTTCTTGGTGTGCATATTTATTGGTCACATCTTAAAGTAGTTTGTTTTTAATCACTTAGCATTACATGGTTTAAGTTTTCTCCTTAGTGTTTATGTTAATTGAAAAAAAACTTTTAAAATAGTTATATGCTTAGTGAATATATTATATGTAAATCAAGGTATATTTGAAGTTTTGTTTGTTTAGCCCTTATTCTGGTAGTTTATTTCTTTTTCTTTTTTTGCTACTTAAAGTAAGGCTACAGTTTTTAAAAATATAGTTCTGGCAGTATCTCTATTTCTTCTTTTGGAGCAAAATTCCATCTTGGAAATACTGGTACCCTAGGTCTTCTCATGCTCCTGTCATTTAGTAAGGCTGCTACCAAGAAAGGGTGTAGAAATTTACAGACTTACCAGAGGTTTGTGAATATTTACACTTCAATAACCTTCTGGATTTTGCAGGTCACAGTGTTTTCTGCTTGGTCCTCCATCATTTAATTCACAGCTTTGCATTTCTTTGGTTAAGGTGAATGATTTTCTACATTTCTGGACTCTATGTGTTCCCTCTACTGTGGACTATCTTTGAGTGTCCTTTTCAGTTGGGGTTGGTTTGTCTACCCATTTACAGTGTTTTAGGGAAACATCTGTTCTCTGTGAAGTTCTTCAGACAGGTCCACAGGTGGCTTTTCCGGGGATGTCTTTGCTGCATGCTCACATTTACTACTAAGAGTTGCCAGTTGTGTTACAATCATTACAGTCTTGTCTCCCTCCAGTGGACAATGAGCAACTAGCAACTAGCACCTAACCAGTTGCTATGCATGAAGCCTGTTATGCCGATGATGATTTACTGAGTTAATGATAAATCAGGGAAGGTCCCTGTGCAGCACCTGGACATGAGTTTCATCAGAGCAGTTTGTTGGCATTTCATGGAAAACAAACAGGAGCAATAAACTTTTGGCTAAGCCTGGGAAATTTTGTTTAAGGTAATGCAAGTGCCAATAGGACTTAGAAAAGTTCACACTTTCAGAGCTAGAAATTGAAATATTGCTGGCAATTGTTTGCTCATTAAAAAAATCAGATGTTTGTCTTTTACCTCAAGAAGGCAATTTTCTCCACAAAATATTATATTACATTTATTTATTCATCTGCAGTTTTATTAAATTATCTGGACAACTGTCTTAGCATACCTTCTAAAAGAAGGACACAAAAAAGATGTACTTCCTCAGAACAAAAAAAAAAAGAGGTGTCATTAATATTTAACATAGAAATGAAAGCCAAACCAAAACCAACTGTGTTTTCATTGTGTTATACTCAAATTATACTTTCTATATCCCTAATTTGGCTTTTTCTCAATTTTGCTATAATATATACATATACATATATATATATATATATATATATATATGTGTGTGTGTGTGTGTGTGTGTGTGTGTGTGTGTGTGTGTGTGTGTGTGTGTGTGACATACACACATTTTTACCATCTCTGAGAGCTCAGAAAAACTAGAGGTGAAAAAAGTAAGTTTTCTGCTAAAATGGAAGGCACTGTGGGCTGGAGGCCTTGAGACCATCTCAAAAACTGAGTGTTCAGGGTACATAGGGACTTGAGAACTTTCTCATGTCCCCATCTATTCATTTATAAAAGATAAAAGCTCTTGTCATGAGCTGGAGCTAGAACCTTCTATACCACTGCAAGGGAACCCCCCTTTCTCTTTTGGGCATAGTGTTGCTGACCTGTGTAAACTCAGGTGTAATTAAAGTGCTCCAATTGTCCTCTTGAACCATGCTTTCCTCTGGTTCTGCAAGCACTCCTCACAGGAGCCTCAGTAACATCTCATTGTCTCTACAAATAGGGAAGGAAGCTGCAATAGGCCGGTGTGAAGGCTGCTGTCATGACTCTCCACAGAGACTAAGTCCTGGCTGGGCCTCTTCATGCCTAAATGCCCTGTAAGTTCACACAGCTGAAATAGTAAGTAATACAGCTCTCTGGTAAGTCACACTCCAGTGTTTTACCAAGAAATAAACCCCTTTCTTCAAAGAATCCATCAATGTAATAAATGAGGCTCCATGAATTGAAAATTTTAGAATCAATACCCACATTATTTATTCCCACTGACATCGCTGCCTCCATCTACAAGAGACCAGACTTCAAAACATGACAGTTTTCTTTTTTCCACTGTGAGTTGTGGAAAACACTACACGAGAGTTGCCCATCTTCACCCGAGGCCAGTGAGCTCCCTGAGATGGTCTCCCCAGATGCCTGACCTGGACTGGTAGACAGGTTTTCCAATTCACTTCTTTGAACAGTATCTATAATTCAGATTATTCTTAGGCCATTTGACAAAAACAAACCAAAAACAAACAACAAAACTAAGAACAAACAACAAAAAATCCTGGAGCAATTATGCTACAAAATAAGTTAGGTTTTCAAAAAAAACAAAAAACAAAAAACAAAAAAAAACCAAAAGACAAAAACCAAAAAACCAAAAAACATAGTGTGAGCCATTGGTAGGCTTATTTAAAAATACCCACCATAAAAATTTATAAACAGACAGTGGTGTTTCTACCATATTTAAATAAAAATCCACAGTTCTCAAGACTGCTCTAAAAACTTAGGGCCACCAGGTACAAATGTTGGGACAATTAATATCACTGCTATAAAACTTTTAACAGTGTCTACAACATACACATTACAGTTGCTGTTATTAGCATAACATTTTAAACTGGACCAAAATGGTTTATGGATACAGATGGACAACCTACTGTTAAATCAGATATGTTTGAAAACACATGTTCTAGTTATGGGAGATATTTTTAAATCTACTTTTATTATTTTCAGTTGTGTGTGTGTGTGTGTGTGTGTGTGTGTGTGTGTGTGTGGGTCTGTGTCTGTGTGTGGTTTTATACACACGAGTTGCAAGTGCCCATGGAGGCCAGAGACATCAAATTCCCCTAGAGCTGGAGTTATAGATAGCTGTGGCCCACCTGAATGGGTGCCAAGAATCAACCCAGGTCCTTGGAAGATCAGTACATGCTCTTAAGTGCCGAGCCATCTCTTCAGCTCCCCAGGGAGGTAATTTTTAATGATTGTACTGTAGGTTTTTTCCAATCATAGTCCTTTGAGTGTGTGGTATATTTTCAGCTTATCAGAGCACACAGAGTCCTCACAGAGTGGATTCCGTCTTAGATTGGTAGGAATGGCTGTGCCAGTTTCTGAAGACCAGAGGTCTTATGAAAATCTTGTGAAATAACATCCGGAATACTGAAGTCCTGAAAATGATGAAAATCCAGGGGTCCACGATTGAAATCACAGACAGAAAACGCAAGGCCAGGAGATCTTCCAAGTCTCCTTCAGTTGTGTCCGAAAGTTTGAATGCTCCATAGTAAGCACGATACTGTTGGGGAGAAAACAAACAAAACCCAAAACATTACACAGATAAGGACTTAGAAGGCAGATGGAAGGAATGAATTCCATTACTTTGTTTATCTTAGCCTGGAGTTCTCACACTATGGCTGGTGGATGTGGATGAGGAGCTTGAAAACTGAGGTACAGCTAGGAGACCCATTTGACTGGCTCCCTGAAGGCTGTCCCGCATTCTGGTCTCAGGTTTCCAAGAAGCTGCCAGATTATGAAGACACTACCAGGCTTCACACAGGGATTTTTTAACTAGTGTCTTTACTCGCATACTTTATTCAGCTGCTCTGTCCACTCTTACTAGTTTACTTAGAAGTAATTGCCACACGTAGGGACACACCAATAAATGGAGCTTTGAACGGAAGTAAAAAGACAGGAACTATGAGGATAAAAAGACACAAAGTGACTTGAAGAAAGAACTGGTCACCTCATGTGAATTCTTCCTTTATATTGTTCATGAACATTTTTTTGTTTTGTTTTGCTTTTTTGAGACAGGGTTTCTCTGAGTAGCAGCTCTGGCTGTCCTGGAATTCTCTTTGTAGACCAGTCTGGCCTAGAACTCACAGAGATCCACTTGTCTCTGCCTCTCAAGTGCTGAGATTAAACGTGTGCATCACCATTGCCTGGCTGTAAATTGTTCCTGTCATTAAGATAGATTCTATATAAGATGCCGGGAGCGGGTACTCAAAAATAGATGCCTGTTCACCTGTGTCCAGCCACCTGCCATGCCTTGATCTCGCCTTGGGTCCCTGTAGTTTTCCTCAGAGCTCTGCCAAGTGCCTCAAGTCATGACTCCCTGCTATCCAGGTCACATTGCTGTCTAGATCAGCACAACCTCAGACCACCATTGTGAGGCTGGATAACTTTTCTTTTGGCATCACACTTCCCATGCCTACCGAGTTTCTAAATCCACAATGACACAAAGTGACCCTAATGGAACAGAAAATACATACATCCAATATTAGTAGGGGGAACTGTGGCTAAGAGCACTCGAGGCCACCCAGAAGCATCTCTCCAAGAAGATGCACATTCCTAGAGTCAATCTCCTTAGGTTTTGACTCTCTTCACTACAACATTTCAGTAGTCTTGGCTATTTAAGCCCAGTGCATTTGGAAGACACCTTACAGAGGCTCCCCTGTTACTGCTATATGGACACCCTTTCTCATTCTTGCTTCATAATGCCAACAGCAGTAATGATGGCTGATGTCCACTTAGAACCTTCAACTCCCAGGCATTATTCTAAGACGTTTTGAAATTTTCATTTTCTCTTTAGAAAAGTCTTGTGAGTAAAGACAGCTATTATCTCCATTTTACAATCCTGGAAATGGATTAAATAGCCAAACGGTCTTTCAAATTGACTTCAAATATTACCCCTTTTAGGAGCCTCTTTGAGCCACGGGCTAAAGGTCTAAGTGTCCAGGTTGGAATCGTCTCTTCAGATGTGTGGCTTCAGGGAAGATGTGGCTTTCTTATTTTTACAAAAAAAGGTCACTGTGCCTGCTTTCCAGGATTCTTGCAAAGATGGAATGAGACAGTGTGAGGAAAGCTGCGGGAACAGGCTCTGGAATATAATAAACACTGGATAATTAGCTTGCATATGCTTTTTTTTCAATTAGGAGTTGCCCATTTCCTCTGCTACACTCTACTTTAGCCTTAGTTATTACCCTTTCCTTATATCTTATTCCAGCACTGGGATGTTTTTTCTCATTTTGTATCTCACTGAGTTACAGTGTGTGTTAGATTAGGTAGGTACCAGATATATGCAGAGTGGATATGACTTGGACCACAAGTTAAGGTAGATTTAGAAATAAGCATTTCATTGATGTGTTTTATATTTGTTATTTTTCTCTGCAGAGAAGCAGTGAAATGTAATTCCAACCAATGCAAGAATGTTTGGTAATGGAATGATACATGTATAATTAAAACAAACCATTCTATCCTTTTAAATAAAAAATATATTTATTTACTTTGTGTGTTTAGGGATGTGACACCATAGCACACATGTGAAAAATCAGAGGATAACTTGTGGTTCTCCTCTTCCATCATGTGTGTTCTGGAAATAGACCTGAGACCAGCAGGCTTGGCAGCAAGCACCTTTACTTGCTGGGCCATCTTGCCACATCAAGCTATTTTCTTTCTATGCAATACTTATCGAAGGCGACTCTACTATGTTATCTTTAATTTTACTTAGTTTTTTCTTCAATGCAGGGGATTGAATCCAGGACTTCACACAAGTCCTAGGCCAGTACTCTGTCGTTGAGATAAACCTCTAGTATCCTTATCTGCAAATTCAAGCCATTGCAGCTGTTATTAGAAGTAAATTATTCTACAACTGGAAATTTTCAATTGGCTCAATTTACATTAAGAACTTCCACACAGAGTTTGGGGAGAAGGAGCAGTAGTTAAGAGTATTTATTGTTCTTTCAGAGAGCCCAAGTCCAGTTCCAGCACCCATGTGGGATGGCCTAAATTGCCAGTAACTCCAGCTTCAAGAGTTCCAGTGCCCTCTTCTGGCTACTGCAGGCATCACATGCACACACCCTACCCATATACACATAATTAAAAAATAAAAATATTTTGAAATATAAAAAGAGCATTCATTTGAAAGAGCTCCCTCAGATGAGGTTAGGAGTCATGGAAAAGATGTTTCTGTTGCCAACTTGGTGGCTTTTTACATTTGTGTTGGGATTCAAACTCAGGCCCTCACGTTTAATGGCAAAGCCCTACAACTATATTTTATAAGCTTCTTAAGTTTACTATATGATGTGCTTGACACAGATTCAGACACTATCCATTTAAATACAGGTTGTATGGGTCCTTAGTAATTCTTAAGAGTATTAAGAGGTCTCTAGACCATAAAAAGTTTGAGAACTGCTGCCTTAGGCTAGCACGCCATCTCCTGCGGAGATTGTACTTCCTGATTAATTTGCTATAGTCAGCAGGACATAATAATAAATAAGAGCCACAATTAGTAACAATACTGATGGTAGTTAGCAAAGCTAGGCATTGGGTTCTGTGATGAGCGCATGGACACACACACACACACACACACACACACACACACACACACACACATCATCCATCATAACTTATGTTTGGGACTAGATAGGTTTTTGGTTTTCCCCAGAATGTGTAATATGTGCATCCATCAAGACATTGGTGTAGAATACAGCCCTCCACAGCCACCATTTTCATGAGACGTATGTGTTACACTCCTGTGGTCTGACACAGATACACTGTCTGGATTCCAGCCTTTCACTTGAAATCATCTATGGGAATTTTCCACTTATGGCAGGACATATGTCCTCAAAATGTTTTAGCTTGTGAAGCATTTGGGATTCTGCTCAAGAATGCTCATTGTGGGCTGGGGGAATGGCTCAGTGGATAAAACCCCTGATGTGAAAGCTTGGGGATCAAAGTTCAAATCTCTAGAGTCCATAAAGCTGATGGCGAGACAAATCTGCAATCGCAGTGCTCCTATTGTGTCCTGGTTGGGTTTTTGTCAACATGACAGAAGTTAGGGTCATCTGAGAAGAGGAAACCTCAACTGAGAAAATGCCTCAGGAGGGCCCACTCCATCGTGCGTGGGTGGTGCCACCTATGGGTAGGTGTATAAGAAAGCAGATTGAGCAAGCCATGAAGTGCAAGCCCAGTAAGCAGTGTTCCTTCAGGGTCTCTGATTCAGTTTCTGTCTCCAGGTTTCTGCTGAAGTCCCTGCCCTGGCTTTTCCAATACAATGTGATGTGGAACTGCAAGCTGAAATCAGTCCTTTCCTTCCCAAGTCGCTTTTGGTCATGGTGTTTATCACAGCAACAGAAACATAGCAAGATAGGAGGCTGCTGGCCAGTGTGTCTGGCACATGCCAGCAAACAGAGAGACCCTGTGTCAATCAAAATGTCAGGTGAGGATCAATGTCTGAGGTTGCTTCCTTATGTGCATCATGAAATGCACATGTCTGTACTCATAGGTGTGTGTGTGTGTGTGTGTGTGTGTGTGTGTGTGTGTGTGTGATTTTTAACCTTTGTCAATCCTACACAACTCGTGCGGTATTCCTCAACAGATGAGGTCAGCCAGCAAATAATCCACCATGACAGCCACTGAGTGCTGAACTTGACCCAGAACAACAGCCATGGAGAGGAGAGATCTCTTAGACATCTAGGAAAAGACAACTCCTGAGAGGAATGCTGTGTGGCTTTCACTTATCCAGAACTTTATAAATTGTTTTCAAATATCTTGGTTCCTTTAATTCAAATTTCCATAAGGTGACACAGATCTCCTTAGAGAGGTGTCCAAAGGCATTGTCTGTTCCATTGTTTTACACTATTTCCTGAGTTATTCACATTAAAGCATCCAAAAGCTGCTTCAGATTTCCATGGATCTAGCTACTGTTTGCTTTCATCACAGCACAGGTAAGCTCCAACTGGTCTGGAGCTTTTTTGGTAAAGGGCTGGAAAGTAAATCCTTCAGGTTTTATAGGCCAAAGTGCCAAATAATGAATGTTATATAACCAGGAAACAAACATTTCCCCACAATATTTATTTATTATTTTATGTCTATGGTTGTTTTGTCTGCATGTATGTCTGTGTACCCCATGTGTGCTTAGGGCCTCTGGAGACAGAAGAGGGAGTCAGATCCCCAGATGGTCTTGAGCTGTCATGTGACTTTAGGAAATTAAAGAAGCATAACAATAACTGGGTACAACTTTTAAGTACATACCTAATAGGAAAAATTTAATAATTTGGATAGTACTTAGCTTAATTGGGGCTTTAAGTTTTTGGTGCTTATCATCAAACTGATTACAACTATTCATTTCAATTTGGGAACTGCCAATTTAGTGTGGTTGTTTAAATGCGATAACTCAAGCTGCAGCAGCTTCTTCATTCAGCCTCTGCCATCTTCGCCTTGTAATTTGGAACCCAAGTTAATGGGATTCTTTGCTATCTCATTGGTCAAGATAGAAACAAAACCCTTCAGGACAGATGAGGACACAACCTGCCACCTGTAACCCCTCCCCCCTCTGCACCCTCTGGGGGAGGGCAGTGCAGCTGCAGCTGCCACCCTAGAGTTGAACTAAATCTGTGTTTATCGCTCACTTCTGTAAGTCACTCTAGATGAAACAACCCCTTTCCTTCTCTTCGTCCCTTTCTAAGCCAAAACCCAGAGAGGACCTCTCAGACAAGTCCGTTTCCAGCACCTCTAAATTAAAGGACCGACCTAACAAAAATAAAATGTTACTTTGCCGGTCAGGGATCTAACAAAAATAAAATGCTACATTGCCGGTGCGGGCTTCAGGGAGGAGAGGAGCAAGGTCTTTGGCACAGAGATGACTAGAGAATTCACAGACCTGAGCAGAGAGGAGGGGGCATCTGCCAGTTGGAGAAGGTTTTGCTGAGTCTCTCTAATCCTTTGTTCAACATTCCCTCTTCTCCCTCTACAAATGGGGTCATGCCTTAGGGCTGTGGAAGTAGTCCGCTCTCCTGGAGTGTTGAGCGCAAAATCAACCCCCCCCCCAGCCGGAATGGTAGAGCCGCATCCATAGAACTCCCACCTTCCCACTGGGCCTAGCCTGAGGCGCTCAGTTTTCCGAACTTTGGTGCCCAGCAACTCACAATTAAAGGCAGGGAACACATAGTGAAGAGCACTGTCATCAGAGCCAGCAGCAGGAGGTGGTCCAGCTCCTCCAGGGGATGCGGGGACTCTTGCCTATGACCTGAGCCTGCTTGGGGGTGGTCCCTGAGGCAGGAGCGAGGGTGGCGCCTCAGGCGCCGGTGCATGGTATAGAGGTTGTGCATGGCACCCAGGTTGCAGAGCACGGTAGCGAGGACTAGCAGCGCCATGAGGCTGGAGTAGAGCACAGAGAAGCCGAGAACCGACAGCGAGCGCTTCTCATGGACCATCTGGATGAAGCACCAGGTGCCCGGGCAGTACTGTACGAACTTCCCAAAGCCAGTGAAGGGGAGTGCGCAGAAAGCCAAACTGAAGGTTCCCACAATAGGCGCCACCAGTACTCCCCTGCGCAGGGTAATGTGCCTTTGGTAGAAGAAGGGATGTCCCAGAGACAGCCAGCACTCCAGCGCCATAGCCAGCAGCTGTAACGTCGAGGCTAGCCCAAAGAAGGACATAATGAAGGCGAAGGCTTGACATAATTGATTGCCCCCGGCAGGCAGCAGTTCCTGTAGGCTCCGGTTTTGCGCATAGGCAGCCAGGACCACCGGGCTGATTAGACACTTGCCCAGAAAGTCGGTGACTGTCAAGCCACACACTAGCACGTAGAAGACAGAGGGTTGAGGGTGCAGCGGCCGCTGCCGGCAGGACCCCAGGCCTGACCGCGCCAGCAGCACCAGCGCCAGCAGGTTGCCCAGCAGCCCTGCAGTGAAGAGCACGCCGCCCATCGTCGCCGAGGAGCCCTTTTCCACCCAGGGGGATGCCTGGCAGCGATAGAACGACGCATTCATAGTTCTTGTGGCGTCCAGCTGGAGGAGAGGCTGAGGCAGGGCCAGGTGTGGAGGAAGCCAGGGCTGCTCCGGGCAATGCGCCGCTGGGGCACAGAGAAGTTACAACAAAGAAAGATCAGCAGGCAGTTGGGTGTTGTTCACAGTCAGTCCTCCTATCTAAGATTCCGGGTCACACCCCTAGAGGAGGGCGGGACGTTGATGTAAGTATTCCAGCTGGGGGCGGCTCTGCTGTGAGCTCTTGCAGATCCTGTACCCAGAGTCAGAAGCAGAGAAGAAAGTATCCAGAATCTGAACACCTCAGGCTGGTCCTTCAGAGGAGGCAAGAGAACTGCAGACACAGAAAGGGAACTGACTAGGCACCAATGGAGTGAAGGGAAGCCACAGAGGTGGTGGTAGCCAGTAACTTGGCAGATGACCAGGCCAGGAGACTGAGAAAGGGCTATGGTCTACTTTTCTCAAATGAGTTTAAATAACTAACATTTGCAGCACTCCTGAGCCTTGGTTCCCATTCTCTTTTAGATCTCTGCAGTGTGGGGATTGACTATGAGGTGAGAAAACAGAGGACTTGGAAATCAGGGCATCTGGTTAGCCTGGCAGAGGTATCCAGTGGCAGACACCAGGAATCAGGTATTTGTTGAGTCCACCTGTCCTCTTCCATGGCTCCTTTTCCCAAGAGGCTGACCAAATTCCCGGGCCAGCCTTTTCTGCACATGGGAAACCAAGAGGTGATATGATGCGGGTGCCAGAAACCACCAGGACTGTGTAGCCAGGGTGACAGGGATATGGTTAAGAGCACTGATGCTGCCATCAGGCCTGGGTTCAAGTCCTGGGTCTGCTGTTCCTGTGTGTGTGAACTGGGGCATGCTCAGCTTCTCAAACAGCTACATCTGTCCTGGTTGCTTGGTGACTTTGAAGGATGGAGACGAGATGTAGAATGTGCCTGGGGAGTCCTTGGTGCATGCAGTGGCCTTAATTTTATTGGGGGAAAGCATTTCTTTTTTGTTAGTTAGTTTTGTTTTGTTGCTGATAGGTAGCTGCAAATTTCAACATGGATTTTGAAACCAGAACCCACTAGCCTTGGTTTAAAGCGTCCCCACTCTTCTGTCCTGTGACTACGGGAGAAAACTTCTTCCTTTCTGGCAGTGACTTGTCTGCATCAAAACGGGAGGGGGTGTTCACTGGGGTTTCTTTATTTAACACTCCATATCTTGGGACAGAAACTGATGTCCGCTGTGGAATTTTAGAGGGGCAATTTGGGCTAAATTACGTAAGCAAGCAGATAATGCCTTGGCATGAAGAGCTTCATTTGCAGTGCTCTTTGCTTATTCTGATGGACAGGGTCAGGGAGAGAGCAGGCCCTGAGCTTCATATGTGGAATCCTGAGGGGTGGGCAGAGAAGCTGCCTCCCGCTGAAGCCTGGCCAGCAATTCAGGCCACAGGACAGCAGGAGTTCAAGCTTGGGAATTACACAGGACCTTTAGGATTCTGGCTTAGTGCTTCAACCTCTCCAAGGTTCAGGGTCCTTATCTGTGGGATAGGTGACTTGTTTGACCTCATAGGATTGCTGTAAGTCTGGGGAAAAATAACAGTAAAGCACTTGACACAGAATAATGACAGTAAAAGCTAACTTTGAGAGCCTTGTCTCTGCTGGACAACCTCTAGGTCTTTCAGGGTGCACGAGCTCTACTACAGAGGCCTTGGTGAGGTCAGTCCTTGTCTATGCTAGAAAACCTCTTAGCCAACAGCTCTCAATCTGTGGGTTGCAACCCCCCACAAACATCAGAAAACACAGATATTTACATTAGGATTCATAACAATAGCAAAATTACAGTTATGAAGGAGCAATGGAAATAATTGTATGGTTGGGGTGAGGTCACCACATGAGGAACTGCATTAAAGGGTCATAGCATCAGGAAGTAAATATATGTATATATATTTTCAAGTTGAGAAATTACATTTTCCATCGATTCTGAGACATGAGTAGTCTTGGGCAACTTTCCTAACCTTCTATGTCCTTGCATGAATCAAGATAGGGTTCTCTGTGTGCTTGGCACTGTACTTGAAGAAAACATAATTTTAATTTTCATCTGGTTGTAGCTTAAACCCTAAGGATTGGGCAGAAATCTGAACTTGTCTTTGGATGACGGCACCAGAGTGAATAAATGACTGAACCATTCATTGCTATCCCAGTTACACCTGTGGAACCCACTGATTACTGAGCTATCAGTAGTTTGGTCCTGGTTCTGAGGGAGCTGCTGGCAGGTGTGGTTGGTTGGGTTCCCTGTTGAGCAGACTATGAGCTGGAGATCAGGATAGGGTGTGCAGGGTCTTTACTTTGAGATTAACACCTGGAGAAGGGAAGGGACAGTAACTGGGCTGACAAAGAAACAGGACTTGATCCTTCTGGTAAAAGCCCTTTGCTGAACAACCGGAAGCTTGGCCTCGTGGCTACAGGACTGGCTTTGATTTAGTTGTCTGTAGCCCCGTCTCTGAGTCTTGGTTCATCCCTCTGATGACTCAGGACTCTTCAGATTCTTCTTGGAAGTTCTTTGGTCTTGTTCCAAACCCAATTTACTCACTCTAAGGCTCTGTGTAAAGCCCACAGTGTTTACTGTATGGTGTGTTTGTTTGTATATTAGGTGATATCTTTCAAGGGCCATGTCTACCTTTACTTTGTCTTCCTGTGGCACACAATAGGGTCTCAATGAATGAAGACTATACAATGCTTTCCACTATTTTCCATGCCCTGAAAGACCCCATTCCCAAGTTGTAAACAATTTGAGGCTCTTATTCTAAGAAGCAAAGATCTGTGCAACTATTAGGCAAGGTCCAGATGACATAAATACAAATTGTATGAAAATTCAAGTCTAGGACCCAGCATTATTTTAGATACCTGAAGGGAGCTCCAAAAGAAGATTCAAATAACTGATTGTTTTCTGTATCTATGATATTAGCTTATGCCAATTTATGAATTATTCAAAATGATATGCTTTAGTTTCTTCAGGAAACACCTGGGAATAAACAATCAGAAGTTGTAAACACCATATTTTTTTAAAGTAATTTTTTTGTGTTTTTTCTTTTTTTTAAATTTAGAAACAATGATTTAACATATCAATCCCCCCAGTTCCCGCTCCCTCCCATGCTCCCTCCCAACCCTCCCCAACCCCCCCACCTGCTCCCCAAGGACGGTGAGGCCTTCCATGGGGGAATTATCAATGTCTGTCACATCATTTGGGGGAGGGCCTAGGTCCTCCTCCAGTAAATAACCAATTTTAAAAAATGAATAATTATCACTAGAGGGGAGAGGTGAGGAGGAGAAATTATCTATTTCTGTGATCATCTTGAACACAACAGATACATATCTCCCATGTGAGCCATATGAGTAGGAGGAATGATAATCTGTAGATAGCATACGCTTATCCTATGGTTCAACTAAACAGTACGCTCTAGCCAAGTCCATAAACATAGTAATATGGTGGTGGCATCAAGAGGAAGAGTTTGGCGTGGGGGTCTCAGAGTGAATTAAACTGACAGGAGAGTTGTTGGTCTACACAGCAAGACACTGTGATCTTTGTCTTATAAACCTCATCTGTACTTTCTTTTTTTAATCTTTGGGAAAACATTATGATGAACAGCAACTAACATCACTAAAATTTCACCTCTCATCGGGGACTTGAAAATACAGCTTAACTAACCTGTTCTTTTATCTCAGCCTCAGGTTCTCAAACTTCACTTTCACAGCTGCAGAAGCTCATGGGTGGTGGTGATTGGGAAATTGCTTCGGATCATGGCCTAGTGCAGATTAACCTGTGGGTTAAGGCAACAATAGGAAGTAAAGGGAAATGTTGACTCATATGTCTGTTATGGCAGAGAGGGAGGAAGAAATGCTGAACTGTAGCATAGGGGACAGATCCAATGAGATTTGTGCCCTGGAATACACTCTGCTGGGGAGCAGTGTCTATGGTTTCTTCCAGTCAGGCCTGTTGATCTAGCTGGGTCAGAGTTGGTTAGCTGAGTGGCTTAGCCATATGGCAGAGACTGTCTTGTCATTTACCAGACCAGTTTCCTCCTCTCAGGCTGTCACATAAACTACCTTTTCCTGTCACATAAACTACCTTTTCCTGTCTCCCGTGCAGTTATGTGCCATTGTATAGCTGAGTTCTAGCTTCCCATATGCTGGTTAGTCTCCATTCCTTTTCTCTTCCTTGGCTGAACAAAGGCCACCAGAGCTCCTAGAAAGGAATGGACCTGGAAAGACATTGGGCCTCTGAATGACAGTGGGATGCTTACTGCCATATTTTGATCATATGTAAGCCAAACCAGCAACAAATAACCCTATCCTGTCATGCTTATGAGAAAGAGAATTAAAAATTTACCTTACTGCCTTTACCTGTTAGGGTGGTGAGACTGCGTCAATTTACATTTCTTTTGCAGGGGAGGCTGTGAAAGGTGAGCCTTTATTTAGATATGTACCACCTGTACTAAAATTATGGTTGTGTTAGGAAGAAAGGAAGCGGCCATGCTATTTCATGGAGAATTAGCAGAGTCTCCCACAGTACAAATGGCTCAGGTCTTGCCGAGTGATCAGAAGAAATGAGGACTGAGAAAAGTTCATGCAATTTGTCATCAGGAAGTCACTGATGGTCTTTAAGAGCCCAGGGTAAGGTACTTATCAGATTACAGGAGATGTGGGATTGCTGGAACTATGAGTCACTAGAGGAAGACGGGTACTTTTGGGTGTGAAAGGAAGGAAACAATAAACTTGAGAAGCATGCTTTTTCAAACCAAGTAAGAACTGTTCATATTCTGAGGCTGACAAAATGAAATGGGCATGGGGGAGTATAGAGAGGCATTAAGAAAGGAGGGCTTCATATTAATATACCTTAAGGTTTTAGTATTAGTAGTCTGCATCAGTCAAGAATGCATGTCAAAATTTTCAGAGTAATTGTTGTATAATTGTAAAAGGAAATACGTAACTAATAAAGAAGAAAGTGTGGTAA